GTAAAAAGTAGGGGCTGCTGGGTGGAGTGTTGGCCACCTGATGCTCATTCCCTTCTCTACCTGAAATGACAGGAACGGATCAAGCAGGATGCCAGTACTTCTCTTTAAATTGAGTGTTTGCTTTGGAGGACTTTTACAGGAGGGGAAAAAAAAAAAAGAAAGAGAGAGAGAGGAGGCAGAAAGACAGTATCAAAAAATAATATTAAAAACAATAAATCCTTAATTAAAGTGCAGGGAACTGACAGCAAAATGAGATAAACCCTACCTTGCAGCTTCTAAAGGAAATTCCATGTCCCAGCAATCCTGATCAAGTATTCAGATTATGTAGAAAATTAAGGAGGACGGGTTCTTCAGAAGAATTCAGCACAAGCAACTTTCACTTAATTTGGTCACTTCATTACAGTGCTTCTCCAGGAGATAAGGCCTAGCCAGGAAACAGCCTTTGAGAAAAAGCAGATCTTTCATACAGGAATGGAATCTTATCTCCATCTGCAGCCCCTGCTGGGATGCCTCTAGCCAAGTCCCCCAATAGAACCATCCCAGGTCCCCCAGCATGATGGTGAGGCTCCCTGATAGCATGATGGGTCGACAAAGATCTGCCACCTCTTAGCAGAAGACACACAACGAGCACGACCCCCTTACACCCAGTTTTCACATCATGGGGTAGCACAGTCACTAAAGTCAGCCCACGTCAGAAGTTTGGTGATGCCCTTGACTCCATAAATGAGGTACCCTGAATATAGCAGATGCAAAGGAATTTACATTTGCAAGACAATATGGGCAGGTGGCACTTAGCACACAGACTAATGAGAGAGTGTCCTTCCCAGGATGCTGCGTAGCAAAAGCAGGGATTCACTTCCTCAGAGGTGACTCCTTGCAGGCTCTCTATGGGCCAGAACACCCATTTCCTCTCCTTGCATAAGAAAGGCCTTGTCACTGCCACCTTGCTGGAGTGGAGTGTCACACACCTTGCCACAAGGTGACAAAAGGAAAACACAGTGGCCAGCACTGTGCCACCACTTCATTCACGAGGACTGCAGTGCCTGCAGGAAATGAAGCAAGCATGCATGGCCAAAACTAGGCTCTTTTCAAGCCAATCTTCTCGTATCTCATGAAGCCCAGGAACCTTCTCATGAAGGTTATGGTCACAAAATGCAAATCCAGAGTATTACCAGTGAATCACAGTATCACCGCACCAGATTAAAGCTGGTGTGAGCACAGGAAGAACCAGCCTCGAAATAAACTGCCTCTACGCTGTAGTCATGAGGTTCCTGACACTGCCCCAGGCAGACTTCATTTCCTTTCCAAGTAGAGACTAGCCACAGCCTCCTTTTTTAAAGGAATAAATGAACAATGGTCTGGTCATGATTTTTTTAGGCTAACAACCCATAGGTTGGACTTAGTTGTTTTAACTGTTCCTGATGTGTTCAGCTCTCTTTCAGCCATGGTGGTGCTGCATCTCTCCTCCAGCTTCCCTCACCATCAAATGCATCTGCAGCAGCTAACCCGGGATGTCAGCAACCTCCAGTCCGAGGAGATCACAGAATCATAGAATCAAAAAGGCTGGAAAAGACTTTCAAGATCATCAAGACTAAGCACTAAGATGAGTGCTGCAACTGGATCCCTTTGTTACTCTCGGTCCCAGTTAAGCTGTCACTCGTCCCCACCTGTAAATGATGTTAACTGTGTGATTCACCATCAGCCTGAGGAGTGAGCACTGAGCCCATCCTCAGCAGAGCACTGCTGCACTAACTAGAACATGGGCAGTCACGACTCTGGTATTTAGCAATCCTTCCAGGGCTTCAACTCACTAGGACAAAGAGACCTTTGCTACAGGAAAGATTAAGATCGGGGCTGAAATTCATGAACAGCTTGATGCAATTTGTGTGTTTGGAGTATGACAGCTCAGAGTCAAAGGACAGAGTTTCATAAAGTTTTCTTGCCTTTGAAAAATTTCATTTTCAATAACCTTAATTCTGCCTGGATTTAACAGATCTGACTCACCTTCTACATCAGCCAGACCCACGGAGAGAGATGCTCCTGATTTATACCAGAGAAGAGAATCATCGACCGGGATGCTGGTTCTCATTTACAAGGAATTTGCCCCAGTCTGAATGCATATAGGAATGAAGTAGGAAGGATAAACTACCAGTCTTAGGTCAGCATGCACCTAAAAGCAGTACATAACTGGAAATCAGGCTACTGTCTCCATGTCTAGTCCTTTCTAGCAGCTGATGGCAGATTAATAGGATGTGTGACAGACAGTTGAACTGGAGCTAAGTTGGAATAAAAGGGAAGGTACATGTATCTGCCTGCCTGGCAAAGTACTGAATATACAAACACTGCAAGCAGATCCTATGGGGAGAACCACACTTTTAATCACAGTTTGGTGTATTTGCCTTTATGGGTCCCAATTTTAAAGGCAACCCCAGATCTGGCAAAAGGAATGAAGAAGAAGAGATGAATCTTAGTGCAGATGGCTGCACCAAAGTGAAACTCTTTTCAGTATTAATGGACAAGCAGCAAGACACAAGGTGAACAAGTTAATGTATTAGCATTTCTCATTTCATCTCTTGCCAGAGTAAAATTTGTTCTCAAAGCACTATCAGCACTATCAGACACACCAAGAATCATGTCCTGAAGGCCTTATGGTGTTTACCAAAGTGTCCTTATTGTTGACACAAACTTAAAAAAAACCAAAGAGATGGCTCCCTTGTGGAGTGGAGAGAAAGGAGTGATCAGATCTTACATCAGAAGTCTTCCGAGGCTGATCACACAGAAGACAGAATCGTCCTCCTCACATGTTGATCTACCTGCCTCTTGAAGGGCTATCTTCCCATTCAGACGAAACAAGTGCTCAGGGCCACACTCTGTGCTCAACAGCACCAAGTGTGGTGGTATTGACTGAAGGTATCTCTTGATTTCTCCCTGTCAGCCAACTATCCTAGATAGCCCAAGCAGTATTTTCATCCCTGACTCTGCAAATTGGGCCCACACTAAGTGCGCTGCAGGGAGCTTCTCTAGCTCTGGGTGAACAATACCTGCAAAGATGTAAGCATTTGCTAAGATGTGCCCCCTCTTCTTTCCCTTCCAGCACCACTCAGCTTTGCTCTGGGGCTCAGCAGTCACAGAGCTTCATAGAGGGCTGCAGCAGAGTGACGGGGGGGATGCAGAAAGGCCGCCAAGGCAGAGAAGCCCACCTGCTTCCCCCGGATGCACATTACTCACCAGTGGGTGCTCAGGACCTCACTCCCACAGGGGCACAGTGCCACCCTGTGGAAACGGTCCTTCCTCTCCGGGCAGCTGGGGAAGGACGCAGGGAGATGGCTCGCAGCCGCATCGATGCTCATTAGCTACACTGCTAATGCACAGGCAAGCCATATCCATTTTGGCACCACGCTGAAGCAGAGCTCTGTGAATTTAATTTATTGAGACTAATGCAAATTTAATTTCTGCTAATTCTTTGTAATCACATATATAGTGGCAAGGTGGCTGCTGCCGACACAGTGATGTAGCTTCTGAAACCCACAATTACTGCCACTCGCTCCACTTCCCCCCACCGACGAACTAAAAAACAAGGGGCAGATCATCAGCAGATCTTAGACAAGCCAGACGAGGGACCAAAACTGGGTGCCACCTCTGCCCCCAGCGCATGAGAGCAGCAGGCAGAAAAGAGCTTCAGACACGGCGGGACACTGATGCCGGGTTTCTTCCATCCTGCTACATCCAAAAAAATTCTGAGCCTCGGTCCTTGCTTTGTGTGGGCCAGTGAAGAACCAGGAGGCCCTAGCATTATCAGGTCAGCACTAAACAACAAGATACAGCACTGACTGTGTAATTCTGTCAGCAGTAAAATAAACAGCAGGTGAGCACCAATGGAAGTCTCAGTACACTCAGAAGGTTATTTAAACACAGTCTGGAGACCTATTTATTCAAAAAGGGTTCTAATTAGCCTGCAAATTAACCTCAACATATCTCTCTATGGCAGACTGAGAAATGAGAATCCTTAGAAAAAGAAAAAAATTAAGTGTTGCTGCTGACAGATGAATACTCTGTATACAGTTCTAAAAAATAAGGACATTAAATCCAAACACAAGGCAGTTGAGTTTATATTCGTAATCCCTTAGTAAGAACTGAGGCAGGAGGACTCAACAAAAAGTTCTCCAAAGATGCTGGAGAAACTGAAGAAATTAGAAATACCAGAAAACAAAGTCTGGCACTTGTAACGATGCAGGTACATCTGCATTTCACAATGGGCAATTCATATTTTGACTTACTTTGGTAGGCTTTAGGTCAGCTCTTAGATGCAGCAACCTCTCATTTTTATCTCCATTACCAAAAAAAAATATTATGAACTCTAGTGTATGTGCTCCTGTCTTCACTCAAGCAGACTTCTGTTTCATGCCAGCAATCACACAAAAGAGAAATGAAACACTCATTATTACTGACAATGAAACAAGATTCATCCTGCTTAGCCTCCTTCCCTGTTCTTCAGATTTAACTGCTGGCACAAACTTAATGAACAAAACCTGAAGCAAAGCAGCCTGTGCCAGACAATACATTCTAATCTGAAATTACATCTCCTGCTTTAATGTGAAAACCCCGAAGCACTTTTGATGAAAACACACACACACCTTCCAGATATGCAGAGCTCAGGATTAACTTACATATTCAATAGTCAGAACCAACTGGCTGCTTCTGTCCACTGTAATCGGGACACAGCACTCTGGGATGGTATGGCTGCATGAGCTTACAAGACACACAGCTCTGGAGACGGCCCTACTGGAGTTCAGTCTTAACCCTCCATCCTGCAGAAAGTTTTAATAATAATCAAGCGAAGGCAAGAGCGAAAACAACAGCCTATCTATGTTCTTGCAGGAGAAATATGCCCATCGCTTGTTGTGTGTGACAATTAAGATAAAGAAAATGCAAGCAGGGTGTTCTGTTTTGAACTACCTCTCACAAAAAAGGAAAGCCATGTTCTGCAGTTCATTCCTTACCTTTAACAACCCTTTCGGGAAGTCTTTGCCATCGTTCATTCCCTGGAGGTTAGCAATGAACTCTTGGCAGGTCATCTTTTTCCCAATGTTCTGGAATGGATGGCAGAGAAATACAGCATTGTATTATTACTGCTTTCCAAAATTATGTAAATAAGCAACATTAGATGAAATGCATCTCCCTCTCTCATATAAGCCCAAGGTAGGCAGCACTAAGAAGGCATTTCCAAGGTTACCCAAAGACAAGCACCCTTTTATGATGTTAGAAAAAGGGAAGATGCATTTGGACCGCAAGTCCCACACACCCATCCAAAAAGAAAAACAGCTAAATACTGGAGGGTGATGAAGAAGATTCCTGATATCTGCATGGTGACTTACAACCTCATGGCACCAGAGGGTCTACCAGTCTTTGATACAAAAGCTCTACTTTTTCCTGCTGTGGGGCATAGGAAACAGCTGAATGAGGCCCTTTCCAGACCTTTTCTTATATTTTCCAATGCTCCCTCCCAGCAGCTACTGCCCTAAGCTGCAGTAAGACACCCAGGAGCAGCCATTACATTTTCTGATTCTCAGGCTGAGGCTGCCTTGAGTGTACCATAGGATTGCTCTTTTCTCTCTTCCTGTCTAATTCTCAGAATGAAAGTTGTTCAACTGAGCCACAAACAGCAAAGGAATGGCTATGTTCATGTAGGATCCAAACTGCTCCATTTCGAGGCTTGAAGTTGTCCTAAGGTGTTCTTGGATCCCAGTGTCCATCACCCCTCAGAGAAGGTGTCTGTACTCAGTCCTCTAGGTGCTAGAAGTCCCACCCTTGGCCTGCGGGGAGCTTTGTGAGCCATCAGCAGTGACAACACCGAGCTGGTGAAAAAGGAGCCCAGAGAGATCTGAGGAAAGGGAAGCAGCCTGGGATAAGCTGTGAAACATGATAGAGGCAGAGGGAAAACAGGACCTTGTGATGACCAAGGTATCATTGGGGATGCCACTGCTGCCAGTCAAAAGGGTGCAAAGATGACTTCTCCATGGTCAGGGTATGCCTTGGCTGCAGAAGTATGGTGGAAGGCCTTTGTGAGCAGACAGTAACTTGGGTTAGGAGCAAGAGGCCAAATTAACACAGGATTGGAACCCAAAGAAGGGCACCAGTTGGTAATACAGGTCATTCAATGTTACACTTACATGACGGGTTGGATGGCACATCCTCTACTTCCCTTTCATAGTGTATGATCAGGCAGGGATAGAGAACCAGCAAACTTTGACCATCAGCCTCATCTAGCCACAAAGGAAGATCATCCTGTGGCCAGCATGGACCAGAGGAACAAGGCAGGCAGGAACACTGGAACAATGATGCACAGCTTCCAACATCAGGAAGGCTCCTGACAACACAATCTGGCTGTAACCCTGGCTCTCTGGTTGCTAAGCTTGCAGAACACAGCTTATAATTGCAGTCTTTGGGTGCAACCTGGAGCTGTTCTAATAGACTTGCAAATGCTTTCCTTCCTCCCTGCAACAGACTTCAGCCTGCTTCTGCTTGTTTCCTCCACGCAGCACCTCACAGTTTCCCCACGCTGACCAAAACCAACAGCAGTGTGGCTCATTTCACCTACTGGGATAATTGGCACTGCAGAGGAATGACTGTTTTGCTCCAGGACCAAGGCTACATCTCCACACAGTGCCACACAGGTTCCAGAAGGTGTACCTGGCAGTCTAGAGATACCTTAAAAGTCTTTAGGATCAGAGTCTGGTTGATGACCCCCCTGCAGAGAAGCGAGCATGCATCTCCAAGACACAGCTAGCAAAGATGATTTAGTTACAAAGAGAATGAAATGTGGCAAGACAGGGATAAATAAAGGGACAAGTAAGAGTTTGTCTGCAGGAGTTAAGGGAAAGTGTGAACTGAAGGCAGAGCAGCTGCACTACAGCCCTACAAGCAGTTGAGCATATTGTGAAATAAGTGTCCACACTTATGATGAGTATGTCAGCAACAAATGGAGCTCAGTGTAGACAAGCCCTGTGATTCATTTGCTTCCTGCTCTGGCAGAATCATGGTAAGGATGGGTCAAGAGCATTATCTTTGTTAGGAAACAGGTAATTAGTACATATCTGCAAGAGGCTGCATTCCAAGTCAAAAATGCCCAACTTACCACCTATGTGGAATAACGCAAAGCAGTAAGAGGAAGACCAAAATTACAGGGATTCAGAGAGAGAACACACGTGCAGAAGTCTGGCAAATACTACAGCTGCATACACATAACACACTAACAACTGCAAGTACGATAAGCCTCCAGAGTTACACACTGCAACAGCCAGAATCATTCTAGCTTCAGCTGCAAGTCATCATCAGCGACAATGGGTCAGAGCCAGATTGTTTACTCCAGTACCTAATGAATATTGTAGGGCCCACTAAAGCATAGCAGGGATCAACGGGAAATGCTGTCGGGCCGATGCACAACCATTTAATCTCCCTCCCTGCATGCCAAGGCTGCTCATTGCTTTGGGGATTGGGATACCTGTGGAGGCAGTCTCAGGTGTGCTCAAGGGAAGTGGTGTATGCTAAGAGGTGCATCAGGACATGTTCCTGTACCTCTGCTCACCCTCCCTGTGACTGACATGCTCCTCAATCAGACAAGACTCAGCCTTCAGAGACAAAAATTCTTCGCAACTTCCTTCCCCTTCCCACTTCTATCATTTTCAGACAAAGGCATTCAGTTAACAGCAGATGGGTGTCAAAACCCCTGGGAAACATACACAAGCCCCAGCTTCGTGACCTGCACCTACTGCAGAGCCTCACCCACAGGGGTGAGCAGCCCTGAGAGAGATTGAGGGTGCCTCCAACTCCTGCTGCCAAAACCCATCATCCTTGTTGCATACAAACTCCCAACCGAGGCCCTCCTGAAAAAGCCCTTGGCAGGAAGGGTCTCGGACAGACAGAAATCCCAAAGCCACCTGCCTGAAGCCACTGCTCCTGCATGATGTCATGCCATGCTCCCTGTGTTTTCCTGTCTCCTTTCTGACTCCAACATGCAGGAAGCCTCCCATCAGCATGAGAATACCATGCATAGCAGGCATATTGCACCATGGGTACTGAAATATATGTCCTAGGGCTGCTGGCACCCTGTACCAGGCACCAGTGTGACTAAGAGGACTCAAACTGGAATTCTGTTTCCCCCAGGCAGGCAGTGGAGGAACACAGGGCTCCTACGCAGGATGCCCACAACCACCCTCTGCCCTCTTGGCTCCAGGCAAACCTGTCATTACCCTGGCTCCACAGAGCTCCCGTTCCACCACATCTCCCCTGTGCAACTGGATGCCTGCAAACATCACCTTACTCCTGTGACATTCCCAGCTCCTCTTCACCTCTCTTCTTTCTTCTGCCTTCCCAAATGTTTTCACATACTGCAAAGGGGAAACCAATCCCAACCATAGCTTCCTGGTCAGGGGCTCTAATCAGGGGAGAATGAGAAGCACACCAGAAAGACAGGGGCCAGAGGACAAGGAGCATCCACACACATCATAGCAAAGACAGGCACAATGCCAGCTTACACGACTGATCTGAGCATGCTGGAGAGCCCTGCCTGGGACAACATCCTGGCAGTGCAGCACTGTTCAATGTCTGCAGAGATGCATTAGGAGCAGGCTACCAGCAAGGGACTCTGCTGCCAGAAGGCCACCCCCTCCAAGCACAGTGTTGGGGCAGCAGTCTACACAAAGCTGTGCATACTCACATGGCCATGCAGGTCAGTGTTCAGCAGCATCATGGCACACGTGAGACAGTGGACTCCATCTGAAGAAATAGACATAACCAGAGTCACATACAAACCCACGACTGGACCTTTAAGAACAGCTGAAACTGAACCTTGTAGCCTAATTGAGTCTGTTCCCATAATGTGAATCTGTTTTATCAAGAAACACATGTAATTAAATAAATGAACAGTGAGGTCATCACACAGCTGCCAAGCCAGAACAGCCTTTCTTTCATCTTTTCATGACTGTCAAAACTATCTTGCAGCACCCATGGATGAGACAAACTAGACAGGAAACCATGCTGTCACTCTTTTCTTGCTAATACCAATACCACAGCCTGAATCAACTCCCTCTTCTCCATTTATTTCAGGGCAGAAAGGAAAGAATAAAATACACCCATTCTTGTGTGCAGAGTGGATACAACATGGTATCCTGTCTTCCCCCTCCTCTGGTCGCCTCCTCATTCAAGGCTCAATTAGACTGAATTTGGGAGAACTTTATGCTGCCTTGGCTCCATACTTTGTAGAAAGTGCTTCAGTGATTTTTAAGGTGGTCCTGTACCAAATACCCCCAACAATGAGCCAGAAGAGACAAACTGTATCCCTCGTTCCATCTCTGGAGTCACTGTTGCAGACCTGGGAAAGCCAGTGTAGACTGCCACTTTGGAAAAGCGGACACCAATTTCACAGTCCTCAATTTCCAGGAACCCCTTTAAAAACCCACAGTGTATTGGCTGTGCACAAATTGCAATGAAGGTGACAGTGCCCATGGTGCCATTTATCATCTCTGAAAATCCAAATGCCTCTAGTCAATTTCCAAACATTAGGAACATATTAGGAAAAATATTTTCTTCATTCTCTTTTTCACAAACACATGGTGTCATCTTCTTTCTCTCACGGGGGTGTCATGAAGAAAGAGTCATTTATGAGACACGCACACAGCGCAGGGAGATGTATTCAAAAACCTTCACAGCAGAGTCCAGAAAATTACTATGCAAAGGTCCCTCTTTACTGTGAAGGAAGAGGAATGAAGGGTAATCATAGACACACCTCACATTCAGTGTGACTACCACAGGCTTAAATTTGTGCAAGATGAAGCCATTACAAAAAGATGTTCCCCAAGGTAAGAGCCGTATTTTCTTCAAACATTTGTACAGGCCCTAGCACCCAAGCAATGTGGCTGAACTGTAGAAGAGTATGAAATGAGAGAAGAAGTATTATCACTAGCTGTAGTAAGTCTAAAGCAGCTTGAAACTGGCCTGTAGTACTCCAGTTCAGGTCTACGTATTTCTCTAGAGTAGCTTGTCCTCTCATTTCCAGACCACAAATGCATCCAGAGCATGGATCCTTATCTCTAAACTGGAGAGTTATGGATTTGATGGATGGACCATAAGAAGCTCAACATGACCCAGCAATGTGCACTTGCAGCCCAGAAACCAACCTTATGCTGGGCTGCATCAAAAGGAACGTGGCCATCAGAGGTGATTCTGCCCCTCTGTTCTGCTCTCATGAGACCCCACCTGCAGTACTGTGTCCAGCTTAGCCCTGCTTATTCTCTTTCTCATCCTCCTCACTTTCTCAGGATGTGACCAGTCTACACTGGCCACATGCCTCTGCCAGCATGGCCAGCTGAACACAGCAGTATGCCAGCGGACAGTTTGTCCTTTTCTCCAATGCCAGCTTTCTCAGGTTTGATCTGTGTGTTTGTTTGTTTCCCCCATCCATTTCTAAAATGACTGAAAACATTGGCAAGGAGGCAGCACTCTGACTGATGTTAGCTAGTTGAGATGAAACCATGCCAGGGTCTGGATACAACACCCAAAATTCACCCCCACAACTGGCAAGAACTGGCATGCCTGCTGCCAGTGCATGCTGAGACACAAGCACTGAATGGAGCGTGGGAAGAGAACAACTTGTCTTCCACCTGAGATGGGACCTATTCTCATCCACATGTGTGTAGCTAGAATACAAGTTCGTACACATGCTGGAAGTCAGAGAGACCAGAAAATCCCAGCTGAGGACATTCAAGTCTGGAGATGCTACAACTCTGGATTTACACTGAAGAGGCCTAAATGTCTTTTCTGACTGGGGACAAATACAGATTTTTCACTCTCTTACCACAATAATGTGTGGAGAACTTGGAGGGTTTCAATACTCTAACGGGGTCCAAGTCTCTAACGTGGCACGGCAATTACATACCTGCAGTTCCCAGGCATGCACCACACACAGGGATGAAGGGAGACAACCAAAGACCTCCATACCAGAAACAAAGTTACCTTGAGAAGAAATGGTGTCTGGGTTGCACTGGTAGTATCTACTGGAGAAGTGGATTAAAACTCTCTCTCGTTCCTGAGTTTCCCCGATAAGTGAAAAGGCTTTAAAGAAACTCCTAAAAGAAGAGCAGAAAAAAGTGAAATTAAAGTCAAGAACCTCTTTTTGCCTCACACAGTACATAGAGTAAAGCACACTTCACAGGAAAAAGTACATGAAGTACATAAGCACACACCAGATATTTGGTTCCAAGAACACTTTCTAGGAAAATGGGCTATTATTCTGTGTGCAGTTAATCACAGCATTACAATAAATGAAGCAGGAGTTAAATTACCACTGCTTTCAGCCATGGAATATACAAACTAATAAGCAATTACACTATTTGAAACAGCTATTCTTATTCTTAGTATTTTTCTTTACTTTGGGGAAGAAACTGAAGCAATTGTTCCTTATGAATGACAAATGTCCAGGGTGTTCTGCCCTTTTGCAATTGCCTATCACCCCTGTACCTTTCAGCTTTACACTCACTAGTACTCCCATCCAAATCGGAGGAGCTAGTCCAGTAGGTGAAGTTGAGTAGGTGCACTGCGGACTCAGAGGCCACAGAAAAGGTGCAGTCCTCCTCCTGGAGGCTCAACTATGAAAGCGGCCAGGGCCACATCAGTTGCATTGCAGAGGGCAGTGTAACTACCTGATCTGCAGAAAGCATCTGGGGAAGAGGGCAGAAGAGTCACAACACTCCCACTGGGCTTCAGCAGCAGCAGGAGCAATCTGGCCCTCCTGGGTTCCTGCTCATGACATGGCAAGGAGCAGGGCTGGTCACACTCATTAGACATAGCCAGCAAGCCTGTGCAAAGAGGTGGGACACACACGCATCTTCCACTCTTCAACCAGCACTCCACCACCCCTCCTCTTCACCATGCTGCTATTCTCCCTGCTAGAAAAACTCGCCTCGTAGCCAAAGATGAACTTCTGCACTTCCCCAGATCCCCACATCCTGGAGCCAAGAGATGACCTCAGTGGTATCAACCTACGCTCATTTGTCAGGATGCTTCTAAGAAAAGCTTGAACACACAAACCCACTGGGTCGCAAGCAAAACAGCACATAAAATAAATGCCTAATAGACAATTTTTAAATACCCCATGAGACTGCAACTAACACCAGATCTGAAAGGTGTGGAATATGTCACTGGAACATTCACATCTATCTAGTCTGGACGAATAAACATTAATTTTTTCTCTTTGATGTAAGGTCAGAGACGGGCTGTACTTGCAATGATCTCGCACCCATACAGAGTGTGATCTGCCTGGTAATAACTTAATTTCACATGTGATGCATTTCAAGTAACCCAATTCACAAGTAGACACAACTGAGTTTTCACAGAGTTTCTCTTCACTTCCTACCTCATGCCCTATGGGACATTTTGATAACTAGCCATCTTTCCTCCTCCTCCAGCTAAAGCTCTTTCCAGTGACACCCCCTGCCCACGCCAGGCACCACTGACCTACACTCTCTCCTCTTCAGCACCTTTACCACCCTGGAAGCTGCCTCAGAGAGGCAACTAATGAAACAACATTTGGTAAATAAACAAGGCAGGTTCCCCACTCTCAGAACACGATGCTGCAGGCCCAGGACCATCGGAGAGAGTTTCTGCCCACTGCGGGGACCAGAATGGACTCTGAGAGGAGCTGGAGCAGCGGTCCCACCTCCTCCCCTCCTGCAGTCCTGCAGAGAGTTGCATGCAGGAGGTGCATAGGTGATGTGAGTCCAGGTGTGGAAGCAGATCAGAATGATGAAGGAACAACACTCCCCATTTTCCAGCCCTGCCACCAATGGTGATACGCACTGCACAATGGCCTCCCACAGCTGGGGGATAGCATCAGTCTGGGTTGCTGCCACAGGCTCCAGAATGCTTTACAAACCACAGCTTGTCAGCGAGCCAGCAGCAACAGGGCGGTTGCCTCTGACTGTCTCCAAGCAGCATGCCTCAGCTCCCCCAGGTCTGGGGATGATGCTGTGTCTCCCAGCCTCTGCTGTGTGCCTGGGATACTTGCTGCAGCTACTCCTGAAACCTCAGCAAACCCCTGGCATGTCTAAGTCCCACACAAGCCAGGGCATATTCCAGAGAAGGTCATGACTATTAATATTAACAGGAGATCTACCGGGAGCAGAGACCTCCTAAATATGTGCCACAAAGTAATTAGGTGTTGGATTTCACAATTTAAAAAACGGGTATATTTAGCATTGCACTTCAGGGCTGCTAAAACTCAGAGAAGCAGCAGACCTCCCACTACCCAGGATGCTCCCGTCCTGTGCTGTGTGAGTGCTCCAGCTTGGCTCTGCTCCCCCTGCCACGGAAACAGGCGGTTCACTCTTCTTTTCCATCGCCTTTGGCAGCCAGGGCTCCAGGTTTTCCATGGCGTCTGCCATGGTTTCCTGAAGTCAGCCCCTGGCAATGCATTTGCAAGGGACTGGCTAGTACCTGCAAACCTCCTGGGTTTGTATCATTAGGAAAAAACAATAAATGCATATGAGTAACTTCAGCCAGATGATTTAAACTCACTTTAAATCCCTTCAAATTCCAGAACACCAGCAACTGTGCTAACAGGCCACTGTATCACTGTTAGTGATAATACAAACTTGGTATTTTGCCTCTTAAGAAAAAATACTGAAAACAAACATTGTTGAGGCCTAATTTCAGTGCAAGAAGGAAGGAAAATTGAAGGGCTGTGTTTTCAAACACCCATGCTGGCAGCTACCAAAATACCAAAGCATTTTCCACATGGAAGCTTTTGCTGTTCTGCACATTTTTGGGTGCCTCAGAGGGATGCAGCAAGGGGGGCTGCAGAGCCACATCAAACCCTGGCCCTGGCTTTGTGCACTGCAGCCAGGCAAAGCAAGCTTTAAAAGTCATCAGCCAAAAAGTCTATGTGGCTTAGCTATGAGCAACACCTTCATTCCCTCGCAGCACCTCAAAGACTACAAGTCCCCCGTTTACAGAGTGGTCATTTTTCTCCATCTCCACTGCATCAAGGACCATCTCTAAGCAGGCCCACCCAAAGATTTCCCTCTCCAGGAAATGTCAGAGCCCCAACAGCGCTCTGGAGTATAGCAGCATACCAAGCCACCCCAGGAACACCTCACATCCCTCTCTTCACCCTCTTAAGCCCCCTCAGGGCAATCACCTGAACCAGGACAACAGAGCCAACAGCATCATTACTAAAACAAGAATGTAAGGTCTGCAAATGGGCATGTACCTGAGCGAGTAATCCAGCGTCATGCCTGTGAAGTCAAAAAACTTCAGGTATTCTTCGGCCACAAGCTTGCTGAAGTCGTTGCTTTAAACAAACAGATAAGTAAAGGTTATCATTTGAGAGTGAACCCCTCCAGAATCAGCAAGAACAACAATGTGGCCAAACACCTCGAATCAGCACGTACTTTTTACCCAAATGCTTTGCCACATCAGAGCGTTTGAATCTGTCCAGATGATAGAGGCGCTTAGCCAGGCGCCGGGCTGCTTCCAAATTGCTGCTGCTGCCATTGCTGAGATCATGGCCAAGGGCTCCGGTGGCATCTTTCTCATGAAGTTCATTGCTCCCCATGGCAGCACTGGAGTCTAAAACCATACTCTGCAGTTCAGCATTGCTATGAGACAGAAAGAATATGGAAAGAAGAAAAATACGATGACATCACAGTTTCAAGAATTACTTGATTACTCTTAGAATAGAAGGCAATTAATGGTATAGAGGCAAGATTACACAATATAGCAAATTCCACTTAATTGAATGAGCTGTGTGGAAGAGGGATGTTTATTTAGCAGTCATCAGAGGTTAAGAGACTAAACAGAGAGACCCAAAAATGGGCCTTCCAGCCCAGAAACACATTTTGCCCTTCACTCACCTTCTGAGTGTAATGAGTGTCCACAACCTGCGCTCACTTCACAGAGAGCTGTTTGCTATTATCAGTCTACAACTGAATCTGACAACACTGGCTCCTTGTTTGCTTCTTGCACTAGTATTTTTTAAACCAATCACTTTCTTGGCTTGAAGGGGTCCCTGTAAAAGTAGGCCATTAGTCATTTTCCAGGGGAAAATGCGGCAAGCAAGCCAGGGTGTTCAGTAGCTCCAAGCTGACTCGGCACAGGTCCCTTCCTTATTCTTCCCCAGTTGTCCTGGAAACAATACAACATACAACTCCCCAAATCTAAAATAACATCCACAGAAGCCTCAGCAGCTTCCATGCCATCCCTGAGCAGCAGGCACTCCACAGATAAAGCAGGACTTGGACCAAGGAACCCAGTTTGGGGAATGGGAGACACAAGTCACCCAGGCCAGCCTAGAGAACTGCTTCCTTTTCTCCTGAAGCAATTTCCTTCACTGTCTGCTCAAAGTCAGGATATTCAGCATGGCAGTCCAACGGCATTTTACATAAATCATGCATTTATAGATTCCTCCCACCTCTACTACAGCAGGAAAGCTCTGGCTGAGCTGTGTGCCTGCTTTGCTTCTCCCCTCAGAAAGGCAAGAGCCCTCCACACCAGAAAGCACACCCCCACATACACACCACTGCACACAGGCAGGCTTTAACTTTGGAAAAGCTCTTCTCTGACACTGGCATGAAAATTCTTGCAAAACCTCAGCTCTGGGTTTGTGAACGTGACGGCATTTCTATTAAAAAACTATATATACAGAAATTCTTTTCACCAAATCCTCATTTACACAGGGCTAATGAATGATCAGCAGGGGTCATGTGCAGGGCAGATACAACTGGAATGAGTTAAACATGATTTAGAACACAACACTTCAGCATACCACGGTTTCATACACCACTGTAATCTTCGGGCTTGACAAGCCATGGTTAGAACAACCGATCACTGCGCTCCAGTAACAATTATCCAGCCATTTACTGAAATGTCTGCTAGCCATTTATTAACCCTTTACAGATGAGATTTTCAGGTAAGGCAAGCTTAAAGCAAAAACCTTTGCTATTCTGCATGCCTCCTTCCACACAGATCATCACCTGTGCCCTACCTCTTTTCCCATGCATTGTTCAAGAGAAGAAGGTGTGTGGTACTGCGGAAAACAGACATCTAATCTGTTCCTGCAAGTATCAGGGATTTGGTTTTGCATTTATTTCAGTGTAAATGATAAGACGATGTAACAAAAGGGGCTAAGTTGCAGTACTTTAGCAGGGAATGAATACTGTAAATACAACTCCAACAGCACCACTGACCACTAGCTACCCTAGAAAAGAAAAAAGCCCCTCCTGATACTGTTGTTGTGGGAAATGCCTCCTCAGCCCTTTACAAAACCACTAACCAATATCTGAAATTCTCTAAAAATTTTATCTACTCCAAACTTGTGAAGAAAGAAAATCTCAGAATCCTCTGACATACATCCCAAGCAACGTTTTGTCCATTCAAATCAGGCATGACTGGTTTCAAACTCTCCACTCTAACAATGGACAAAAGGAAAGGATAATCAGGTGAGCTAACACATCTACGTGTTCTTCCATGCACAAATGCTGCTTTGAAGGCCAAGTCAATTTGCAGTCCCACTCTTAAATGTCCTACATGTAGGTCGGGGCAATCCCAAGCACAAATATAGGATGGGGTGGAGAATGGATTAAGAGCAGCCCTGAGGGCAAAGATTTGAGGGTGTGGATTGATGAGAAGCCAACCATATGCTGGGCTGCATCAAAATAAGAGTGACCAGCAGGTCAAGGAGAGGCGATTCTTCCCCTCTCCACTGCTTCTATGAGATCCCACCTGGGTCATTCAGCTCTGGGGCCCCCAGCACAAGAGGGACATGGAGCTGTTGGAGCGAGTCTGAGGAGGCCATGAAGATGATCAGAAGATGCTCAGAGGGCTGAAGCACATCTCCTGTGAAGACAGGCTGAGAAAGTCAGGCTTGTTCAGCCTGGAGAAAGCTTCCAATGCCTTAAGGGGGCTTACAAGAAAACTGAGAGGGACTTTTTACAAGGGCAGATACTGAGAGGACAAGTGGGAATGAGTTTAAACCGACAGAGGGGAGATTTAGATCAGATACTAGGAAGAAGTCCTTTACTGTGAGGGTGGTGAGGCACTGGCACATGTTGCTCAGAGAAGTCATGGCTGCCCCATCCCTGGCACTGTACAAGGCCAGGCTGGATGGGGCTTTTGAGCAAGCTGGTCTAGTAGAAGGTGTCCCTGCCCGTAAGTCCTGGAATAGAATGATTTTCTTCCTTTGTAGCTGGTACACTTCTGTGGTTTTGATTTAGTGTGAGAATAACACTAATAACACAATGATGGTTTATTTGTTGCTCAGTAGTACTTACTCTAAACCAAGGACTTCTCAGTTTCCCATGCTCTGCCAGTAAGGAGGGGCAGAAGGAGCTGGGAGGAAAGACAGGATACCTGACCCAAACTAGTCAAAGGTGTATTCCATAGCATAGAACGTCATGCCCAGTATATAAACTGGGGGGAGTTGGCCAGGAGCCACTGATCGCTGCTCAGGCTGGGCTGGGTATTGGTCGAACAGTGGTGAGCAATGGTATTGTGCAGCACTTTTTTTTCTTGGGTTTTATTCTTCTCTTTTTTATTGTTATTATTTTACTTAATTTCAGCTATTAAACTGTTCTTATTTCAGTCCATGGGGTTTACCTTTTTTCTGATTCTCCTCCTCATCCCGCTGCGGGGGGGGGCAGTGTGCAAGTGGCTGCATGGTACTTAGTTTAGATGCCTGCTGGGGTTAAACCACAACACCATGGTAAGGGGGTTGGAAAGGTCCTTTCCAAACCTTACCACTCTATGATTCTGATTCTTTGATAAATAACAGGCCTGTTTCACCACTGCTCTTTATTAAAGGCAATATTTATAGCCCTGAAAGATGGCCAAAGCTGACAAGAAACATCTGCACCCTGCTGGGAAGCAGTGCACTATGAGAATCAGTGTTACCACAAACCACCGTAAGTTTAGAAAGAAAGGAAGTGCCAGCATCTGGCACTTGGTGAAATAAACAGTACCGCAGCTCCCAGCTTTTGTTTTGACTCTTGAAGCAGTGGCAAGGATGTGAACAAGGAACACTCAGCAAGAAGGAGAGCGTGTCTTTCCCCTGCTTGCCAAAACTAGCCAACAGGGCTGCATAACAAACCTTATCTTCCAACCTCCCCGATTTAAAACTTCCTCCTGAGGGGAGGTCCCCATACATGTATCAGCTCAATGAATAAGGGATGCTATCTTCAGTTGTTCTGACAGTTGACTAGCTTGTTACTTCATAAGTACAAAAAGACAATCAAATCAGCAGTTTAGGTTGTCTGTAATATAAGCATTTTGTTCAGGAAAAATGCTAGATTGTTAATATTAAAGTGAGACTCCAATTCTCAGGTTTTTTAAGTGGTGAGAAGAGTCAGTGCCCACATCACTGAAGGCTTAGGAAATGAAGACTATTGCAAGCTGCATTCTGGAGAGGTCATTTTAGCAGGGTCCAGGGCATGTTACTCAGGGAAAAGGCTTACCTCTAAGATTTTCTCGGTGAACCATTTTCCTGCCATGCCTCAGTTTCCCCAGCTGCTGAACACAGACAGCCTCCCTCCCAGTACTTGCCTCCCTCTGTGAAGTGATTATAACACACTCTAATCAAGGGCTAGAAGTGATTGCAGACTGTCTTCTGCAGTCTGCAGTTTCTGCACACAAAGTCCACAGCAGCATTACCAGCTAAACAGAGCCAAGAAAGGGCTTTGTGATACAAAGCAAGACTGGCCACGGATTTCTCATGCAGCTTTACTCTTTATCACATAAAAATGAGAAACCTCCACTGACAGAAGTAGGCTGAAAATGTAATTGACTGTACTCCCCCTAATCCTGGATTCAAGGCCAAAAGGGACTGTAATGATACTACTAGTAATTGCCTGTACAGCAATGGCTGCAGATTTTCATCCAGAGACTTTTACATTAATCTCTTATATTGGAAAACACAATAAACAGAAGCTAAAAAAAAAAAACCAGAACCCTCTGGTCTCACAGAATGCATGAGCTGTGGCCAGAAACAAGCTCCTTAAACCTCCTTATTTCTGTCCCAGCAATGCATTCCTGACACGTTCCCTCCTTCCACTAAAGTATTCCCAGGTTCACAGTGAATGCACAAAGGCTGTGACCACCATATCCAGCAGAAATTACAGCAATTCAATAAATAGGCCCTATGGTAAATTCAATACCTTCTAACAGCAGCAGCCACCCCTCCACGCTCATGGATGGAACACAGGCAGACTGTAACATCTGTAAAGCTGTTTTGCAGAAACAGGGGCACACTGTAACATCTGTAAAAGCTGGTTTGCCTTTAACACACCGCAACAGCTAGGCGGTCTGAAACATTTTATGCTGTTTTCTTCACTTACTCCATTACTGACCAGGTCAATGGCGATTTGGCTGCCACTGCCAAGGTATCGCAACCGTGTCATGCTCAGCACTTAGCACGCTTTATCTGTTTTAAGAATATCCTAGATTCACTTATTCCCCTCTAACCCCAATCCTGAGTTTCACCAAAATCTAAAACCTCCACATCAGTGGAAGGTTGTGGAGTGGGTGCAACGTCCAGACAAAAACAGAGCAAGGCTAGTAATGTTCAGGATACAGGTACTTCGTATCATAGTGATCCACTTTCCCACTC